TTCCATATATATATATATATATATATATATATATATAATTATTTAATAGGTAGTACAATGCACAGAAGGCATTTAAAAATATTCTGTGGCAGAAAACACCTATTCACATGGTCACATGGTAAGTCACACATTCCACAGATCATTGTTTTGTACATATATACACATGCATAAATGTGATTTTATTACTAGATAAATTATGCATATATGTGTCTTACATACAGTATGCACCTTTTCTAAGTGTATTTTTTTTCTTTGGCCGTGTCTTATTTTCACAGGACTAGAGTAAGCTACGATAGCCACTGGTGATCCCTAAAAAAATAATACTGAGAAGAAGGAAGAAAAATTAAAATAAAGCAGCTGTTTGGGATTTCAACAGTCACCAAAAGCGTCTCTGTGGGTATGTAGCTCAATTCGCACCATACCTAAATAGTTTCACTGTTAATAATCTCTCGCAGCAATGAGGGCAACAATAATTACCTCAGTGCTGAGCAGGGGGGATGTGGGCTGATGATTTAGCTTTCATCCCCAAGGAAACTGAGCAGAACCTCTGCAAGAGCAAAATTCCCACAATGCACCACTGTATTTATGAAGCAATCACAGCTCTAAAGCACCTCAAGAGACACTGATGATAGACTCGCCAATTGCAAGGATCATATCTGTGGCTCAAGGCTACAAAAATACCAGTGTATAAACATAGCATAAATATGTTCAAAAAGTCACTGATGCTTTGCAACGCCCCAGGTTAAGGTTTTCATTTTGCTCCTGTTGTGGAGTTTTTGACTATGGTAGAAAGCAACATGAAATTAGCAAATAACGCACGTTAAGTCAAATCAGACCACATTAGACATGGCTGACGCCTTTGGTTTTAGAATGTTAGCCAACATTTACAACATGGCATGAGAGATGTGATCACATGACAAAAAAGTAAAACAGTTACGTACATAGAAGACTTTTGCGATTGATACACACATGCTTGCATACAAGCACGCACTGGGAATCCTGGAACTGGGAATAGCTTACCTTGGTCTCTCTCTCCTCCAGAAGAGTTTCTAGTCTTTTCTGTGCCGCTCTGCCTTCATGGTCGTCACTGACGATTAGAATGATGTGATTCCAGCGGAACTCCCGCATCATGTCAAACCACACATGTGCCTGGTGGGAATAGGGTGGAACTGTGCGGAGGAATGAGAGATGGATGCTCTGGAAGAAGGGTACAGAGAAAAGAATGTAGGAGACAAAGTTTAAAATGACAGTTTTTTTTTTTTTGAGTGAAATAATAAAGGTGTTTCTTCAACTACAGGATTTTTTTTTCAACTTTTTTTATTTATACATTTTTTTTCTTTTTGCTACTGGTAGAAGGGTAGAAAGAAAAAGAAGAAAGTTGGGACACATCATTTAAAAAAATGTAATTGCATCACTTTATCTCACAATTCAGAATTTTTTCTTGGAATTTTTAGAAAAAATTTCAGAATTGCGAGATATAAACATATATAAACATCTCACAATTCTTTTTTTCACATAATTGCGAGTTTTGCGATAAACTCATACAGAATTGCGAGTTTATCGCAATTCTGAAAAGAAAAATAAGTCCGAACTGTGAGATACAAAAGATGTAATCACCTTTTTTATTTATTTATTTATTTTTTTTAATTATGTGGCGGAAACAATCTTCCATAGTTTCAGGATTATTTGTCATTATTTATTTAAAAATATTGTTCAGTTCTGTTTTATAGATTTCATTGTTTTGTATTTATAATATATCATAAAAATATTACATTTTAAAAACTAAGATAATCTGTTTCAGTAGTTATTGTGTGAAAATGAATAAAAAAAATATATAGGTATTTCACAAACAAGTCAATTGTTTCATTACTAAATGAATCTGCATTTCTGAACAAATTGGTAGCATGAAGACAATCACTTATTTAGTTCCTGAAAGACTCAAAGATTTGAATGAATCATTTAAATGAATGATTCAATGACTTAATCATAAAGACAGCCACTAATTATCTGTTCTTGAATTGGTTGTTCACTGAATCAGTCATAAAAAGATTCACCCAATTGCATAACAACTGAACCTGCAGATATAGAGTAACTAAAAATCCCAACTATTAATAAAAAAAATGATCTGTAAATATCACTTGTCAGCAAGATATTTTTTTATTTGGGTCTTTTCCAATCAAGCTGAACTTTTGTCATTTTTATGTTAACAGACAAACTAGTCATAGTATGGGAATTGATTTAGACCCCATAGTTGAATAAACACTCATCAATACCCAAAATGTTTCATACTGAAATTGAATAATTAAATTTCTCTCTCATTGCAGCCCACCTTGTCTGAGTAAATGGACATCCTGGTGGTAAGCCCTACTACAGGTATTCGGTAAAACCCTGCGGTGTAGGAGACCGGAGTGGGCGTCAGATGGTCATTGGACTGTGGTGGATGGCTCACCAGGATGGCGTACACCTGCGAATATGATCACAGAACTGGTTTAAATGCAAACTAGCTGTCAAGACTGGATCACAGAGGAGTGATCGCTATGACTCATGGATCTGGCCTCGTTCTGTGAATAAATCTATCACAGTCAGACAGGTTGACAATTTGATTGATTGATGATGAAGGATGTTTGGTTGGACTCAAGGGAGCATAAGAGACAAAGAGGAATCTGGCATATATAAACATGTTTTTGTTTTTCAAAAAATATGCTGTATTAAGAAGGAAAACCAACAATGGAGAAAAACATTATGTGTTTCCAGAGAGACCCTCCGGCATCGGCTCCATCTGTCACAGAATGTCTTCAGAGTGGGCAGAGACATCACTGTGCCAAAGGCGCTAAGATTGAGAGATACAGCAGTTCCACATGGAAGAATCTCACACAACCATGAAATTAATTCAGCAATTATCCTGACATCCTGCTAACTAGCTACACAACCTTACGGCTCAAATTTGTTGAAGGTATGTACATAATTAAGCACTAGACACCCACTGGGTTGACAGGGAAGTTGGTGTGAATATTAGTGAGAGAACAAACAAAGGAGCACCATGAGCAGGACGGGAGAGAGAGAGATTCATGTTCAACCCAGTTTTTGTTCAGTGCAATATCCAGGCCTGAGATAGACTCCTACCTCAGCACTTTTGTAATGACATCACTGGCCCAGAGAGCACTTAAAGCGGAACCGCGTAATGTGATTTTTGCGTGTGCGGGCTTTTAATGAAACAAAGCATCAGGCAGAATTACTCCCATGAGTGTGACAGTAGTTATTCACTAGTGAAAATGTCTCTCATTTACACTTCATGTAGGGCATTGCTACTGCAGTACATCATGGTTTCTCCTCTTACACTTCTCAGGCTATAACATGGCATAAAAAAACTTAGAACTGAGTGGTGATCGTTTTAAGAGCAGATTAATCTATTGATCTATCTATCTATCTATCTATCTATCTATCTATCCCGACTACATTATTTTATACCAACAAATGTCATTTTTATGGGTAGAAAATGAAAATGTGGTTGTGCATTTCCACTCTTTATGCTGTATTTATAGTAAACATTAGTATTCATATGGTGTATTTATAATGAACATTAGCTGTATGTCTCTAGCATTTTTGACTTGCAGTAGCTTCCTCTCCCAAAGACATTTTGCAGTTTGCAGATACCGATGCCATGCTGACCCTTCCACCCCCATCTTTATTTTTATCAAGCACAGAAATACTCTGTGAAAATAGAAATGGCTTGCATTGAAAATCATTGATTTTTCATGCGTCACCTAGTTTGTTTTGCAGCTGCTGCCCTCGGCCAGCATCGTCATCTAACTCATTCCTAACATCAAAGCTCTGTGGGGTCAGCTACAGTACGTTAACCTTTCCTCCCACCGTGAGTCCATCGACCTGCTTGGATCATCATCTGACAGGCTGTCCTGTTTAGACATCTAAACGAATTAGGCAGCCTCAATCTACTGCCACAATCCAAACCAAGTTCAACTGTCCAAGTCAGTCTCCACAGGTCAGTGCCTATACTGTAAAATTGTTTTGTTGGCTAGCCTAAAAAATGTGCTTTATGTGATAACATCCAATTTAATGGGTTTTATTCAAGTCAAAAACTATATTGAATGGGAGTGAATCAGCAGTACTACATTAGGTTATATTTTAAGGCCAGAATATGTAAAAATGGTTCCTTTTATTTTCAGCATTTTTTAAAATGACATACACCCTCACTATTTATTTAGTATTTATACTTATATAAAGAATATATATATATATATATATATATATATATAGATATATATAAAATATTTAAAAATTGTCTAACCTATAATATGCATTTCATTTAATTGTACTCGTCAAAAATATGATTTATTATGACTAAATCAACTGAATACATAAAGTATCTAAACAAAATTTTTAAAGGATAAATAGGGTATTTATTGCAGTTTTACAGTGCAATAAATGTTTAGAAATTATCAGTTGGCATCAGTATATAGATCTTTCTAATGAAAATATTTGCATATTTAATGAAACACTTTTCAATAACCTAAATAACGGTACTTGTAATGGATAATATCATGCTTACAAAAACACTGCCTTATGAAAGCCAAACAAATTCATTCAATCTGAGTGGTGCATATTGCATTAACATGTTTACCCCTCAAGCAAATTTTAAGTCATTTTATTTAATACTGGATCTCGCCACATGAAAATGCCACAGTGCAACGCTGATACTAAAAATCCCACCTGACTGGAAATGAGATCCTCACACACAGACAGCGCCATCTGAATCGCATTAGCTTTGTGAGTGACAGAGATGGCGGTCAACTTGAATTTATCCCTTCCGTACACCTGGTTCGCCTGAGTGACCGCATCCTTGAACACCTGCTCGTATCTCTTCTGGCTCAGGACGGCCCCGATGTTCACAATCTTGGGCTCGCAGCCGCCCCGCACGCAGGAGCAGGAGAATAACGCGGCCAACAGAAGCAGACGCATCGTGTGGAGGGCCAGAAGTGCGCACGGAGAGTCCCAGTGTCTTTTCTTCTTAGTGCTGCCGGAGGCTCTTGTTTGAGCTATTTCGCTTGTTAAGAATGAAAGCAATGTCCAGTGTGGCAGTTTTAGACTTAAAAAATCCCAGGTACGAAATTCACACACATTGCGGCGATCTGTTCATGGTGCCCGGTTCAATTAGGCGATGGCATCTGAGAGAAGCTGCAGCCTTTCTCTTAATTCCCCCTGTTAAGTCAGGCTGCAGACAGGCAGAGCAAATACTACATGAAGGCTGGCAGCAGAAATCAGTGATGCAGCTCTGCGCGTCGGCTGTTGTTCTGCGGCGGAGCGCTGTCCTTGGTGCTGACAGCTGTGCGCGCTCTTTTACGCGCGCCCCCGCACCTCCTCCAGTTTTTCGCGTTGGCGTTCCGCTAGAATTAAAACGCTCCGATGTCACAAACAATCCAAGCGTGAAATTAGAATGAAATTTTTATAAACGGGTAGAAAGAAACGTATGGTTTTAAAAGGTCGACCATTTATCGACACATTCCAATGTTTCTAACGCATCTAATCTCTCCTATTCCCACCGCATTTTGACAATTTTCTCGAATTGAATGGGTCTTATAACAGTTGCTGATGTACAGATCGTTCTCAACTGTAAATGAAAAGGATTTAATGTGAACGTTTTTTACATGAACAGAATTTGTCCTTCCTGAAAGATCAAATGCAGGTGAAATATGTCATAATACAAATATGGCGATTATATTTAGTAATATTTAAAGGTTCTGTTATTAATGTAGTAAAATGACATAAACAAAATTGGTAGAATTAGTCCCAATGTAGCTAAACATGCTATTGATCAAATTTGTGGAAGGCCTGTTTTGAATAACTGATTTATTCACATTATAAAACTATAGATATCAAAGTGTTACATTAAATGAGTCAAAAATGACATTTTTATTGGATTATATTGTTACTCTGCAATCTATTGAGTATAACTGAGCAACTTTGCCTCAAGTTTTCTATCTGTAGCAACGGTGTCCCATAAAACACATCATTTCATACTTCATTCAACATGCTGTTGAGACAAAATGCAATGCCATCAAGTTAGCATTTTTAAACTTCTTAAATCAATGTTGTAATCATTTTCAAAGTTTTTAAATTCCTTGTTTTATTGTTGTGATTATTTTTTTCTTTTCTTTTATGTAAAGCACTTTGAATTACCATTGTGTATGAAATGTGCTATATAAATAAACTTGCCTTGCCTTGCCTTGCCTTACTTTGAATCATTACTTAAATCTTTGTTCTATTCAAGAAGTAAAATTCATGTGCTTATTCAAAAACTGTGGGATTAAATGGTTACAAAACATGTATAAAGGGTTAAGGCATGGTCAAATTGAGATATTTCCTTATATTCTTGCCCAAGACAGTGTTTAAGCCAAATAACATACAGATAAAGTGTGCTGCTACAACCACTTGATTGGCTCTATGACTTTCTCTCCTCTCCACCTGTAGCTGGTGTGTGGTGAGCGC